CCACTGGACCAGCTAGCCACAATGAGATTCGTCCAACTAGGTATATTTCTACACCATAGGAAGGTTAGCACAGGCACCACTGTGACCACAAATGCAAGTTTTTACAGATGAATCTCCAGCTAGCATGGCCGTCGTCTGTAAAAACTTGAGCTAGAGTTCGTCACAGCCACGCTAGCTGGAGATTCGTCTGTAAAAACTTGCATTTGTGGTCACAGTGGTGGCCTATGCTAACCTTCCTATGGTGTAGAAAAATACCTAGTTGGACGAATCTCATTGTGGCTAGCTGGTCCAGTGGCTAACGTGACGGTCTGGAGTTTTGAGACTCTCTGACCGCGGGTTCAATCCCGCCCGTGGTATGTTTTTTTCAAAGGCTGAAGAAATACTTCCTAACATCTCTATGACTCATTTGACCTTTCAACTTACAGTTGTGTGTGTACTCACCTAACTGTGGTTGCAGGGTCGATTCATAGCTCCTGCGTGTGTGTGTGTGTGTGTGTGTGTGTGTGTGTGTGTGTGTGTGTGTGTGTGTGTGTGTGTGTGTGTGTGTGATTTTTCCACAATTCCTCAAGAACAACTCTCCATCCTGGAATCAAAAGCTCCACTGTCCCATGACCAACACATTAAAGCTCTTGCCATATAACTCAGCTTAAATTGTTGGTACGGTTTGTCAGGAAACAGGACAAGTGTTTCCTGACGCGGGTCTTGGTCATATGATGACCCACAGCTGGAGCTCTTGGTCATCTGACCGAGGCCTTCCACTGGCTTACCGGTCCACCCCTTTAAATATTATTATTATAGCCATATTTTATATCTTAATCGCCGGTACTCTCCCTACCCGAGTCTTTTCCAGATGGTGACCCGGTCTTGGGAGTGTCTGATACCAATGTCTGCCATGGAAGGAGGTACAAGTACTTCCTCATCTTCTGGGATCAACTGTCCCCAGGCCTAGCCCCATTCCCGGCCATCACGTGACTCATAGGGAGAGACTAGGCCTCTGGTCTGCCATTTTTCCCGCCCCAGTGGGGCTCATGGAAATGGCAGTCTTGCGAGCTACAAGTGGTAGCAAGCTCTGGCACCTTCCCCGCCCTACGAGGGATCATGGAAATCTAGATCTTCTTTTTTTATTCTTATTCGCCAGTATTTTCCCGGTCCGGGTCTTTTCCAAGTAGTGGTGACCCGGCCTTGACTCCCTATCTCGGGAGTGTCTCGAGACCTTAGTTTAGTTTAATATGTTTATTATGCACCCCATACCCATCCTGTGGGCGGTAGTCACCCCATACCCATCCTGTGGGCGGTAGTCACCCCATACCCATCCTGTGGGCGGTAGTCACCCCATACCCATCCTGTGGGCGGTAGTCACCCCATACCCATCCTGTGGGCGGTAGTCACCCCATACCCATCCTGTGGGCGGTAGTCAAAAGATTACAGAGGTACATAATTGGTCCAGGGACTGGACTCCAAAGTTTTGATAGCTGAGCAAGTTACAAAGGTAATGAACTAGATCTGGTCATAATCATGACCAAGTTACAAAGGTAATGAGCTCCAGGTAGAGCTGGTCACACTCATGAATAATTGCAAAGGTAATGAATCATAAACACATTAATCATGAGAATTTACAAAGGTAATGAGCTCCAGGTAGAGCTGGTCAAAATCATGACAAGTTTCAAAGGTAATGAATGATAAACACGTTATGACATGATTACAATCATAGACAAATTACAGAGTAATGAGCAGTTAACAAACATAGCAGGGAATTCATCCATTGCCCCAACAACAGATGTTGCTAGGTGCCTGTCTCTCCTCGGTAGACAGCCATTGCAAACAGCAGCAAGTTGCCCCAGGATCGCTGCTTGCACGAGCACCATCGACCCTCCCCAAGAGGTCCAAGAAGCCAGTGACTCCGTTAGCAGCCCGATGGAGAGCTCCCCTAGGGACATGTCAGCGTCCTGGTGGACGCCAAGTTGACTGAAGATCCCAGGCCCTCGTGTGCACGGATGTTGAAACTTGAGGAACTGAGTACACACTGCCTGTGGCACACCTGACAGCTGCCTCGCGGTCGAACTCCACGATGCTGTCCCTGTAGTGGAAGTTCCTGTGAGCCCGGCACTCCCTGCAGTGCCATCGCTGACATCGTGGGTTAGGGAAGAAGTACCCTCTATAGATGGGGTGGCGCTGGGAGTTGGGTGGGTGAGGCGGGGGAGACGCGCAGGGGTGAGGCGTTATGAGAGGGTCACTGTTTACTACACACGCCCTCCCCCTCCCTCCCAGCGGAGAGGGAGGGAGGCGCTGACTGGTCCTGACTCGACAACACCAAATCCTCTGAAACTGCACAACACTTCAACTATTTACGCTGAAACGATGCACTGGGATGTCCGTTCGCTGCTCTGGTATCTTCTCAAAGCATTCACACTGAGTTCTGTTAAGTAGGGACCTGGTCAGCCTCTTTGACCAGGAGCTATCCTTGAAAATCCCGCAGCTACCCTAAGTCTCCCATGGGAGGAGGTACAAGTATCCCCTCATCTTTGGGACCAACTGGATCTAGTTAGTTAGTTCAAGATTAGCCGGTATTCTCCCGGCCCGGCCTTGGCTCCCTCTTTAGGGAGTGTCTGAGACCTAAGTCTCCCATGGGAGGAGGCACAAGTACCTCCTCATCTTTGGGACCAACTGTCCCCAGGCCTAGCCACAAGCTTGGCCTCTCTGGTCTGCCACCCCCGCCCCGAGGGGGAAAATGGGAATGACAGTCTTATGAGCTAAAGGCTCGGGCTCAGGCACCTACCCTACCCTAGAAGGGTTAGGCATGGTGTCGATGATGGCAGTCTATTATTATTAAATATTAGCCGGTATTCTCCCGGCCCGGGCCTTGTCCAAGTGGTGGCCCGGTCTTGGCTCCCTCTTTAGGGAGTGTCTGAGACCTAAGTCTCCCATGGGAGGAGGCACAAGTACCTCCTCATCTTTGGGACCAACTGTCCCCAGGCCTAGCCACAAGCTAGGCCTCTCTGGTCTGCCATCCCCGCCCCAAGGGAGCAAATGGGAATGACAGTCTTATGAGCTAAAGGCTCGGGCTCAGGCACCTGCCCTACCCTAGAAGGGTTAGGCATGGTGTCGATGGATGGCAGTCTACCCCAGATTACATATATTGGACACATAATTTAAATTATAATAAAGATTCTACAGTTTTATGCTAATTTTAGGCCAGAGTTATAGACAATTACAAGATTTTACGTCTGTTTTATTCTATTATACATTTGATAATAGATTCTTAGATGAAGAACAAGAAAAGAGACGATAAAGTGACTTACACCCAGGGATCTACTTTCTGTTAGGCAAACAGTGACAGCAGATGTAAGGTGACTAACACCCAGGTACCTGCTCACTGCTAGGTGAACAATGACAGCAACTTACAAGAGTATTTTTCAAAAATACCGAGCATTTAGGCATTTTTTAAATCTTCACATGCCTTATATTTCCCGTGCATTCTGTTTACACAGTACTCCCCGAGGGGTGCACTTAGCTGAGGTGTATTAGCACTCTACATTAGAAACCTACCTTAGAAATAGATATTGAAGACAATCACTAAAAAAACTTTAAGATGAGGATTCATCTGTGTGACGTTTCGCCCTGTGTACAACTTTATCAAGTTTTCTTTCACTCTGTAGAGCTTTATTAAGTCATGTTTCAGTCTGTGTGGACCTTCATCAAGTCATGTTTAACTACCAGTGCCTTATATATATATATATATATATATATATATATATATATATATATATATATATATATATATATATATATATATATATATATATATATACGATTCTTGCTCAAATCTATATATAAATTTGTAAATAAAGATTTTTACGAAGTTGCTGTTTTTCTAATTTGTTTCTATATATGTGGCTGTTATATTACGAAAACTAATAAATATTTTAATGAGAAATGAGATGTACTTTATGAGGTATATCTCTCATTGTATGTTCACTGAGAGATATATCTCATGGTATGTACATTGAGATGTATATCTGTCGTGGTATGTACACTGTGAGGTATATCTCTCATTGTATGTTCACTGAGACATATATCTCATGGTATGAACACTGAGAGGTATATCTGTCGTGGTACGTACACTGTGAGGTATGTCTCTCATTGTATGTACACTGAGAGGTATATCTCATGGTATGTACACTGAGAGGTATATCTGTCGTGGTATGTACACTGTGAGGTATGTCTCTCATTGTATGTACACTGAGAGGTATATCTCATGGTATGTACACTGAGAGGTATATCTCACATTGCATGTACACTGAGAGGTATATCTCTCATTGCATGTACACTGAGAGGTATATCTCATGGAATGTACACTGAGAGGTATATCTGTCGTGGTATGTACACTGTGAGGTATGTCTCTCATTGCATGTACACTGAGAGGTATATCTGTCGTGGTATGTACACTGTGAGGTATATCTCTCATTGTATGTTCACTGAGAGGTATATCTCATGGTATGTACACTGAGAGGTATATCTCACATTGCATGTACACTGAGAGGTATATCTCTCATTGCATGTACACTGAGAGGTATATCTCATGGAATGTACACTGAGAGGTATATCTGTCGTGGTATGTACACTGTGAGGTATATCTCTCATTGCATGTACACTGAGAGGTATATCTCTCATTGCATGTACACTGAGAGGTATATCTCTCATTGCATGTACACTGAGAGGTATATCTCTCATTGCATGTACACTGAGAGGTATATCTCCCATCTTCCTATAATTAGTAATGTGTATGCGAAGTGTTAACATAATATATTTTAAATATAAAGTATGTATGGTAGTCCCAAACTACCAAACTACTTGTGAGGAAGCGAGTGGGTGCTGCCAACTGAGTGGGGGAGGAGGGATTGTGTACATGACGAGAGGGCAGGACAGGACAGAGTAGTGTTGGTGACACGGGTGTGGAAGGTTGACTGCTGGTCTCGGCTCTATTTGACCCAAGAGGAGAG